TGGAGGAAGGTTCGACGAGCGCTGTGGAGTTGAACGAAGCGCAACCAGAATTGTTCCCGTAAGAAGTAGGTGGAAAAAATTTTGGGAAAATTTTCCGGAAATTTATTACATTATGAATTTTGTAGTCGAAGGGAGTCTGCTGCGTGTGTTGATGAGAAAAAAAAGGATTTTTTGGGGAAAATAATTTTACGAAATTTTTTCGGGGGTTTCTATTCAGTTGTGCGTAAATTTCATAATTATCTTTCAGGAATAAAATCGATTAAATGGGCGAGCGCGGTGTGTGTCTATGTGTAGGTATGTTCTGGGGTGGTACACTCGCGGGCAAATTACGATTCCAATAGAAGTTACGGAAGATTCGATAAGGCATGAGTGTCGAAAACTCGGCATACCATCCGATGTAAGTGGGGAATCTTTTTATCTGTGAGTTGCCATGATGAACCTAAAGATATTCTTCGCAGTGCGATGAGAGGATTCCTATTATTTTTTCTCTTTCAGGTTTCTGTTAAGTTTGATACTGCATCGATGCAAAGCATTTCGAAGGCTCTTGTGGCGAACAGTACTGCGATCGTTCAGGCTCCCGAGAAAACGGCGAAGTTACTTGTGGCGCAGGAAATTTTCAAGTAGGAGTATTGATTTCATTTATTTCAGATTGGAATTCATTTAAATAGTTTGAAGGGCGCACGGATGAGGGGGAAATTCAAATTGGAGTTTTTTGGGATTTTTTTCGTGGAAAAATACATAGCTCGTTTAAGGAAAAAACGACGAAAATATCGTTTTGTTCACGCGCGCGGTTTCGCTCTGAAATGAGCCCGTTAGTTATATATGGTATGGGAAAATATGCACATGTGTTGGTGATGATGATGACAATATGAAAATGTGGAGGGAAAGGGATATGCACATGGTCATCAACTACATGTGTTGGTGATGATGATAATGACAATATGAAAATGTGGGGGGGAAGGGATATGCACATGGTCATCAACTACATGTGTTGGTGATGATGACAATATGAAAATGTGGGGGGAAAGGGATATGCACATGGTCATCATCAACTACATGTGTTGGTGATGATGATGACAATATGAAAATGTGGGGGGAAAGGGATATGCACATGGTCATCATCAACTACATGTGTTGGTGATGATGATGACAATATGAAAATGTGGGGGGAAAGGGATATGCACATGGTCATCATCAACTACATGTGTTGGTGATGATGATGACAATATGAAAATGTGGGGGGAAAGGGATATGCACATGGTCATCATCAACTACATGTGTTGGTGATGATGATGACAATATGAAAATGTGGGGGGAAAGGGATATGCACATGGTCATCAACTACATGTGTTGGTGATGATGATGACAATATGCAAACTATTGTTGGTTCCTGTACACTTCTATCCAAATTACCTGAGCTCAGCTGAGGAAAGCGAACATATATTCCTACTCCAACACTGCTCAAAACTGATAGATATAAAACTTCCTATTTGATTCAGATTTGTATACACGAATATGTGGAAGAATCTCAAATCAGAACAAGTGGCGAACATGACTAAGGAGGGGTGGTCGAAGACTATGCCGAAATTGAGGCTTTTAATCGAAGAGTAAAAACAGTGAGGTTTTTCAGGAAAATTTCAGGAAAATTTGTGAAAATTTGGGGGAAAATAATGAAATTTTATATAAGATAAGGTTCCCGTAAAAATGAGGAGAATATTGAGGATTCGTACAGAATTGGGGGAAATAAAAATTTGAAAAAATGGGAAAATTATGAAATTTCTCATGAAATTGTGGGAAAATAATGAGATTTCTCATGAAATTGTGGGAAGATCATGAAAGTCCTGATACATCGTGGGAAATATAGGAATTTCGGGTAAATGCGATATGAAAGAGCGATATGATTTCTCGATTTTTTCCTCAAGTTTTTCCGAAAAGGATTGGAAAGACGTGATGAAATTGATTGTGAAAGAAGCGAAAGACCGCGGGTACGGCGCTGAACTTCTTTGTGATGAGCAACAACAGCCTGCTAAGGTAGGACGTATTTTTTCACTCTTTTTTACGTTGGGTTTTGGTGCAGTGTGAAAAATATATGCATATGGTAAACTACATGAATTGGTGGTGAAAATAGAAAAATTCTTGTTGGATTCTGTACACTTTTACCCGAAATCGTGGGAAAACTTGTATAATTAGTGAGGAAACCCCTAAGTTCAGCTGAGGAAAGCACACACATATTCCAACACTGGTTTGAGCTGATGCTCACCATAGAAGGCTAATTTTTTTAGAGGAAAAATTATTGGAAATTTTCTTGTTAATGTTGCATTATTTCGATTGAAAAAGACTAGCGTCTACTTAGTGATAGAATAACAGAAATTTGATTGAACGTGTCTTCGCGCCTTAGTGATTCTCTCGGTTTTTTCCAAGTGAAGATTGCTGATGCAAAACTACAACGCCGTTCGTAGAACTGTAAAAAGCATTTCTCTTTTCTTATCGGAGAATTACGTAGCTCATTTTTTCGGGCGAAATTTTTTGATAATTTTGCGTTCATGTTATGGTTTTTAGATTAAATTGACAATGTTCCAGGGGTGAATTATTGAGATATTCAACCAGTGAGTGGCTCATCACTTTTTCTCTCCTCTCGAGCCAATACCATGTTGTGTGAAAAGTTTGCTTGAAGTGGTGTACTTGGTTTTTATTGACGGCTCTAGGGATAGTTGACGATGAAAAAACGAATACGGTAATTCGTCAAAATTGGAGTTTACGAAGTAGACAAGGTTAGTTGTCAGCCACACAACGCACACAATCGCAGTGCGCGCAAGCGTT